ATAAAAATTGTCATATAAGAAAATTGTGAATTATAAATAATAAATAATAAATTTAAATTGTGAGAATTTAATTGTGAGAATTTTAAATAAAAAAAGATAAGAATAAAAATTCAAATAAATAAAATAAAGTTGTTTTAAATTCATAAACAAAATATAACTCTTTATTTATTTTTCCTTTAAAAAAAAAAGAAAATATAAAACACAAAACTTGCATACATGTATAATCAGCTCAATAAGAAAATCGTAAATGGATGGTAATATAATTATAAAAAACAAAATAAAATATCTAAATTTTCTAAATTTTTTGCAAATCACACACATTTTATACTCATATATTTTTGAGTCTTGTGGCAAAAATTGATTTCTAAACAAATTTGATTATGTAGTATAGCATGTAGTAATATATATGTAGTATAGTATGTAGTATAGTCACTTTCTAATTTAATTTTGAGTAGAAGATGTTGTCATTCATCAAAGATCAAAGGTGTACCATAGATATAGACACCATATGCGTGATAATTATTTAAACAGAAAATAAATGACGCCATAGAGAAAATAAAAAATCAAATGAATTATTGAAATGAAAACCAAATGTTTGTAGTTTATGAAAATATAAAATTTACTTTTAATAGAAAATTTGTTCTTGTCATTTTACTTTTTGGAAATTTTCCGCATTTCATAAAATACGAGTATAAACAAATTGTATTTTTTTTTTTTTGATTTTGTTTATATAATTACGATATACTCGTATGTATTGATGTACCATATAATGGTGTTTATAATAAAATTTCTGGTATATTAAAGTATATAATAAAAAAAACGGAAGAATAAAATATGATAGCCAAGTATTAAGAAATTTATTTCCCAATTCAAAAAATTACGGTTAATTAGAATTCATCAAATTTTGTAATAAAAATTAACCAAATACGATATTATGAGGTAATCTGAATGAGATTGTAGATTTAAATTATCGGTTATATAAATTATAAACTGTGATATCGTATGCAATACTTCGAAATTTCTAAAATATTCAATAGACACTGATTGTATTTTGTAAAACAAAATTAAAGTCTCATCTAAGGTACTAATCTAGTATCTAAGGTACTAATTAATAGAATCTCTTGTCAGATAAAGAATATCTTATTTTTTGATCGTCTTTGGCTGCTTTGCCTTTGCCGTCTTGCTTCGCTGATTCCGGGATTCGGCTAATTTATTCGGATAAATGGTTTAGTTTCACTATTTTTCATTATAACGATACAACGAGTTCTGTAGCGAACTGTAGAACGAATATTTTTGCAGATAACTCAAAACTTAGTAAGACAGTTTTCTCTGAGAATGATTGTTTTCTTTTACAGAACAACTTAAACGATTTTAATTAAAGGTGCCACAGTAACTGTTGAGAACTGAATATTAGCAAGTGTAATGTTTTAAATTTCTGTCGTAAAAGTGAGTTTTCTATAATTAAATATATCCATCGTTTGGATGAAAGGATTCTAAGGTGGGTTAAACTTATGAATTATTTTGGGGTCATGCTTAACCAGAGGGTTGACTTTATGGCCTATCTAAAACATGATTATAAATAAGAGGAATTCTAAATTTGGTTTCGTTATAAGGTTGGCAAAAGAAGTTTGCTGAACTCTCATTGAGAAGCATCCTTATCTATCTCATATGTTAGGCCCATTTTGGAATACGCATCCGTCAAACCGACAAACTTTCATTTTTTGGACATTTCCTGGAAAAAAATCAAATCAAAAAAAAATATTTTAACTCTACAATATTTATTTTTAATATTCCATAATTACAATAAAATCAACATTCCCGTTTTATTTCTAATAGAATCTGCTAATATCTTTCCCTTAAGGAATAAAATAAAATTCGCATTTACATAATCACACTAATTTAAAAGAAATACCAAAGCGCTTTTTAAATGATTGCTATATTAAACGTATATGTGTATTTGTTCACCTTAAATATTAACATTTTTATTATATTATTAATAAAAAATATAAAAATGCAGAATATATAGACAAAATCACAATATTCCATTTGAGGCCATTAGTATCTGTATATGTACATATAGTATAATAAAATATTTTATCGTGACACTATTATTTTATAATAGTATCCTTTTGGGATAAATTATATTATATAGGAAACAAAATATAGAAAAGTAAATCAAAGAATAAATTAAAAGAAAATATTTTTGTAAAAAAATTAAATTCATACATATACAATGAATATGGACATATATACATACATATTTATTGGGAAATATTTTCCTTGGTAAATATACACGTATTAATAAAAGATTGCATAAACAATTTAAATAACGATCAATTTACAAAAATTTTTCGAATATTAAGGGCTGTAAATATAATTTCATTTTAATCATGGGATATGATATGAAATTAAATAATAGTTTAATTCACAATATTAATTAAACATACGAGTACTACGTTAAGTAAATCAAAGCTAGTAATTAATTTAAACAAATAAAATAAATTCTGATCAAGCCGCAATATGATTTGTAAAATACCATGAATTTTAATTGAATAATTGCAAATAATTTTTTTTAAAAAATATTCTATTCAATTCATTCTCATTCTGATATTGTGTGATGTACATATAAATATTGCATACTTTTAGGATGATTCTAGAATTATGCGTTGGCATAATAGTGCTCGTCAACCGACGCTCATTAAATAAATTAATAAAAATAGTCATATTGCTTGATGCCATGAGATTAACCATTAGAATTTTGCTTTTATAGAAATTTGAAACAGCTTACCGTTTCGGAAATATAAGATACCAAAAATGAAAAATGGAAACATTTCTTAATTTGAGAGCCTATAACACTGAATAATAGGAGGATGTTGAATAAATTTTGTTTTAAGAAATAGACCAATTATTATTTTCTACAAATTACTAAAATCTTGAATTTTTTATAAAATTCCCCGTCTAAAAGAAAAACCGAATAAAAAAATGTCAAATTTTAAAAAACGTATTTAAGATAACGGTTAATTTCAACAACCATTTTATCATGATAATGCCTGCCTTTTCGATTTTGCAATAGAAAAAGCAAGTCACTATTTTCTTGTATTTTCGAGAGTCCAAAAATCATTAAGGCTTCAATAAAATTTTTTAATTGCATTTTAAGATATCGGATGGCCGGAATATTCTAGAGGAATATTTCTCTCAAAGACATACGAATAAATGCAGACGGACGGCCACAGTAAAAATATTACAAACATTCTAGAATTATTTTAATTATAATAATAACTTATTATTAATAGTAATAATAATTCAAAATCTTAGATCGAATCGTGGAGACCATAATTCACAATCTTAAATCCTATATCACTTCATTTACAGTACGCTGAATAAATAAAAGATTTTTTTTTAAAAAAAAACCAATTATTGTAATTGAGAAATTCAAAATAACATTTTATAATTCGAAAAGTTCTGAATAAAATTTAGTTTTTTAATGCCCCCTATATATTCAAAAAAATAAAAGTTTCTTAGAATTAAATTTATGTAGAGAGATGGCATAAATATTTTGTTAAAATTTATTCTTTTTTTCGAAATACACACTTTTATATTTTCCACTTGAACATAAAAACAATTTGAATTAATTTGTATATAAGAGTTTATCTATTTTAATAATCAATTTTTAATTAGCGGCGGCTAACAATCACTTGTGCTACACAGTGAGTAGCTAATATTGAGAATGAAATGAAAATTGAGTAAAGGTACAAAAAAAAAATTTATTTTTAAAAAAGCAATCTGTTTTTTCTAATTTTACGATAAATTGATGGTTATTTATAATAAATATAAACGGGAGAAAAAATATTACCGTTAACCCATAAATAATCAAAAAATTTATTAGAAAAAAAAACATTTTATTATTTTTTTTTTTGATTTGCTGCTTTATGATTTCCAAAAAATTTACATGTATGTATGTATGTATATATAAATATTATGTAAACAGTTGAATAAATGTCAATATGAAAAATTACATGGCTATATTATTAACATTAAAAGGTATGCAATATACGAATCAATGAAGTGATATACTTTCAATCATCATAATATAACAAAAAAAAACAAGAAACCAAGAAGGAAAAGAAATATAGGAGGATATGGAGAAGAAAAATCTAAAAACCAAAAACAAGCAATATAAAATTTAAAGGATAATAAAAGAAAATTTGGACACAAAAATTTTCAGGAAAGAAAAAAATGAGCAAAAAAGTAAAAACTAATCATCTGAAGTGATTTTTTCTTTCATGTGCGTATGTCATATCATATACGTGTAGTATAAAAATTCTAAGGACATATGAGTAACACCATATATATATGTATATATGTACGTATAGGTGCACATAAGTACTTATCTCTTTTTCAGGATATTATTGGTCATAAATTTTATTTTAACATCAGAAATTTTTCTTAAGAAAAAAAAAAAAACACAATTTATAATAATTCTGGTAATAATTCATTTTCAATATTATTAATATATAGCTATATAATTTCAAATAAAAAAATAACTAAAATTAAATGGAAATCTACCTCACTTCATATATATATACATATATTCTTATCATTATTTTTATCAACATCATTATCATATAATCATCAATTTATAAATATCAATATCAAGAAAATTGTCTTTTTGTCCTTTCATTTTCAGTAATATTATATATATTTTTAATAAATATAAATATACATATATACAAATATTACTATTATATATATAGATATAGATAAAAGTTCAAGGATAATAATAATGAGAACAGCAAACAACAATAATAATAGAATAATGAAATAATAAAAGAAAATATTGTAATAATAAATAAATAAATAAAAAAAAAAGAGCATAACAACCAATTTCTCTGCATCCCATACAATTTATCCCCCCTCTCCCTCTCTTGAAAATTATTTGTGCAGCTTAAAATTATAAATTACGTATATATATTATATTTATTTTATTTATTGAAACTTACCTATTCTTTAAAATGAATGCGGGATGGTAAAATGTCACTCAAGAAGATGAAAAAAATTATTTTTGTTGTTATATGTGGAAAATCTCTCACCAGATGGAATTTTGTTGCTTTTTATTATATTGAGAAAATACAATACTCTGTTTATATATTTATTTATTTTTATTTTATTTATTGTTGTTTTTGATTTTTTTCAATAAAAGTTAGTATTATTAAATTTTATCGTTTTTCAATAAATTTTAAAATTATGTTAGTTTGTGTAGTATAGTTAGGGTTTCTTGTCAATATATTTTACTCGTATAATTGCATTTTGCATCCTTTTGAAAATAAAAGTCTTATATTAAATCTTTTATGATTTAAAGACAAAAACAAAGAGTCGTGAAAATTTTTTAATTCCAAATTTTTAAATTTTCCTTTGATATTTTTCGTTTTTTTTTTAGTTTTAATACAAAATAGTATGTTATATACTATTAAAGTGTTATACACTTTTTAATAACAATTCAACTTTTTGTTTTTTTTTTAAATTTTAATTTTCGATAAAATAAAATTTAAAAATTATATTTTTCGTACTCTCGTTCTTATTTCTATACAAATGATAAGCAATCCGAAATTTTTAATGTGTTATACTCCTAAAATATATACGATTTAAAATCTAATTTATTAAAAACAAAACCCGCTTCTTTAAAATTGCAAAAAATCAAAATAAACTTTTTATTTTCTTTTTTTATTTTCTATTAAATTTTTTTAATTTGATTTTCCGAACTATTTTTTCTTTTCTCTAGCAGACTAGTTTCTATTTTGAAGTTCTTAACTGTAATGACAAAATATATTTTTAATAATAAACTAAATTGGAAAAACAACAAAAAGAAAAAAAAGTATAAAATAAAAAAATTTTCCCTGAGATTTTCACAATTTTCATTTTTTGATAAAAATTTTTTTGAGTATAAAAGAAAAAATAGCGGTAACAAAATAAATGAGTGAAATTGAAACAATATGAGATCATTTTTGTTTAATTCTCATTTTTCTCTCCTCTCCCCCCCCCTCCTCCCCCCTAAATTTGATTTTATTGCAATATATGAATGTATATACTCAAGAAAACAAACAATAAGTTGTTACTGAGTTCTTATATACATATTTAACTTAGTGAGTGAGAATGATAACAGTATTTTATAGAATATTGTAAATAGGAATATAACAATATTAAGAATATAAATTGGGGTAAAAAATAATATGAATTTTGTACTGTTATACATATATTTTGTTTATATTTATACTCATATACGCAACATCAATTAATACTATGCATACTATGTACGTATGTACATAAGTTTGTATATAAATAATAATATTTATAATACATGTATATATATATTATTTAAATGACATTTAAAGTATTTATACAAAATATAAAGTTATTTTTATTAAAATATTCTATGAAAATAATTATGCTGCCGAATATACGTACATACACACATATATATAAAAGTGACATTTATTATATTAATACTTATTACTCATTTTTGTTACACATGCTATAATAAAAACAAAAAATTTCTCTCTTATTCCATTCTCTTATATTATAACATTATATCTCTTATATTAATTTCATTATGAAGTAGAATTTAGTGAGTTGAATTAAATTCCCGTATTTTATATCTAAATATTTAAATTGTAATAAGTATTTTTCTTTTTTCATATTTTTTCTTTTCACTTTTGAGAAATTTGCATCATTTACAGAAATTTTCTCTCAATATCACTATATTTTCCGTTTTCTTTTTTTTTGTAATATTATTTTATATTAAATGCATATAATAGTGTTATGCTATTATCAGAAATTTTTCACTTAAAAGTTTGAGCAATATCTAACTTTTATGTGCTACTTATATATACGTATATATATATACACAATATAATAATGTATTTATAATATAATTATAATTTAATAAAATTAAAATGATTTTTATAAATTTTTATGAATGATATAGGAATGAAATAATTTTTCTCAATTTTACCGCATTTTTTTAAAGCGCATGCGTGATATTTTAATATATAGTGGGCTCTGCAACATTTTTGTAACGCGTTCGCGAATATATTTGGGATATTGTGGTATTTGTATGTCATATTGTCATAGAATGACTTACATATGTGTATCTACAGTTAGTTTTGCATTCGAATAATTACAAACAGGAAATATGATTACTTATATATGAACATACAATAATTGCATTCGAAACTCCTTGTGTCATGGAAAATATAATAGAAAGCAACTTAATTAGAATTTTTGGAATTCAGTACGTTATACTTCTCTTTTGGGAACACAATTGCTTTAATTTATAGTATATTTGAATAGTTTATTTAAATACAAAATTTTTTATTTTTCTGTTATATTTTGTTCCTCAGAACAAATAAAAATACTTCCTATTTCACGACAAATCACGAGCCCTTAACATGATATGGTATAAAAATTGGGAAACCCTGCTTTATGGGATTCGTATTACAGTTTCTAAAACGAAAAACATAAATGCTTATAAAATTATGTAAAATATTTCCCTAGTTCATTATTACAAACATAATAAATCTACATTTTGAGATTTTAACTCATGTATTATAGATTTATCCATAAAATTGACTATATTTGGGCATTTCTAAGGAAAGAACTTTTTGTATTTTAATTTTGACAACAAATTACAATTTTCCGATTTTGCAACTTATATTCTCAATAACAACATATTTCTATCAAGTTAATTTCCATTTTGCATCACAGATAAAATATTAGATTAACCATGGTGAATTAACCATAAAAAATGTACTACTGCTTTAAAGACTTTGTCCTGCAATAATACTGAGAACTTAAAGGATCTAAAACTGAAGAACTCTTCTCTAAAGGGGACCCATACTAAATGCATAATATCTATTTTAAACAATATGAAAGCATTCCTAATAATATTTAATTGCATGGAAACTAAACTTATTTTAACTTGTTTTTTAAAACTTAATTTTTTAAAACTTATTGCTGATGTACGGTGTGTGCTATATTCATAAGTATGTGCTTATTTTTAAAAGGTTCTCTCACAAAAACATTCCGTTTACTCATTTATTTATTTTAATAGACCAGATTCAGAGTCTGATGAGTGTAATTTAGTATATAAAATAAAAATCTCTGAGAAATATTTTCAGAAATAAATAAATGAAAAAAAGGGGTAAACGCAAGATTTTCATAACATGCGCTCTTAAAACACCGTAAAAAGAAACATGTTCATCCGTTATAAATTTTTGACATTTCATTCCTTCAGCTGGTTTCTATTTTTATTTTTTTTTTTATTTTTTTTCTTAATATTTTGCGAAATAAATGTTATCAAATGCACGAGTGTGTGTTCCTATATTTTTATGTAGATATTCCAATACGTGTCTCCCTCTGACTCCTTGAATATGAATATGTATAGCTATGTACACAAAATAACGAATGAAAATAAAATATCGCATTTTTTTTTGTTGTATTTGTTTTAAATGCATCTCTTTATACAAAAAATTCTATATGGGAAACCACGAAATTATCCTGTGATTTCTTTTATGATTTATTAAATAAACAGCCCAATATTATCAAAGTATTGATAACGTAACGTATGTTTGGAAATCCTTGCACATCCACAATAAAATATAGTTGATCAAACCAAATTAACAGTTTAAGGACACTTGCAGATATTTAGGAGCAATTTTAAAGGAAGAACTTTTAAAAGTGTTCAACCAGTAAACATAACTGTAAATTAACTTAAAAAGTATATATTATTACTAGACTTAATTTCAAGAGCTCAGCGAAAATTAAAATTTTTTTAAATATATGAACCAATTAATTATCAATTCAATGAAATGAACTCGTATTTTGCTACGTTTTTTCTTACTTCGTTTTTTGTTTACGTGTTTCTTCGGAAATCAGATATAATTGAGTTTTTTTAAAAATAACTCAGCTCTCAGGTGACCTACTGAGCTGTGAAGTTCTCTACCGAGCTCCTTGTTGGAAAGGTCTCGATGACAGCTTCAATTCTATTGGATCCAAATAACTTTTCGGGCACAAAACTGCTCTTCCGGCCCCTTTTCTGCTAAAACAAATTCAAGACTCCTAAATACATATAGTCAAGCAAGGTATTATTGAAAATGGACTCAGCATACTTTACAAATTTTGTTGGAGGACCCTCCTGAAAATGGGTTCTGCTACGGTTCAGATCCCAAAATAGGATATAAGAAGGAAAACGGTCAAGTAAGGTACTATCGGAAAGGTCTAGGTGTGTTCTTAACTTTTGCATGAATCTACATCATTTAGTACGAACTTTATTATCGGCATTATTTCTGCTGAATGAGAAAGATATGTACGTACAGCTGCAATGATTTATCAATTTATATTTTATTTGGCATATCATCGTACAATAAAAATTTTAATTCATCAATAAAATCGAATTCTCTAATACCAAATTATCTAAATATCACAGATTTCTAAAAATGTCATTAGAATTTATAGATAATAGGCAAAACAATATTAAAAAAAAGTTAAATTGTACTTAATTTCGCCTATCAAAACAAATTCAGATTTTTTTAAATATTCTTTATTGTTATAACTGTAAAAGAGCATGAAAAACGCATATAAAATTTTTTTACAAATTTACATACGAAAATAAAAATATCGCGACTCTAAGGATATTCATGTTTTATACATTATGTCAGTTTATTTACCTAGAGCGTATTTCATATACCTGTACACATAATAAACATTTCCGTGATCTTTACCGGAAGCACAAGTTTAACATCAGCTTTAACACTATAAACTATATGGAATTTATTTTTAGTTTTTATTTTTTTTTATTTAGTAAAATTTGCGAATCTTTCTTCTCGATAAACTACTATGAATGCTGTATACATATGTATGTATATATGATTACTGAAGTGTGTTCCATAACATAATCAGTTTCTTATGAGGAATACATGATTAGCTCTACAATATAATATAAATTATTAATGCAATGTGAGAAAAATTTTAATATTTTTTTGTACAACATAAAAATGTTATACTATTTTTAGAATTTTTAGAATTCTGAGCTATATAAAAATTCTATTTATACATTTAGATATAAATTTTTAAAGTTTTTGCCTTTGCTTCATCTGGAATTCCTCAAAAACACATTAATTTTAATATTTTATGTAATTATATGGTATAAAAGATAATTTAAAAAAGATTTGAGCTTAAAAACAGATATGCAAACAATTTAAAATTAAAAAAAAAATGGAAAAACATCTGTGCAAATAAATTATTTCTTATATTTTTATTTTAATATTTATTGAACTTAAATTCTCGAATAAATAAATATATTTTATAGTTAAACAGTTGAAATTTTATACATGAACACATCTTAATTGTTTCAGAGAATTTAAAAAATTTTAAATACGCGGCAACTAAATGTTTTTTTTTAAGCATTTTCCAAAATTTATGGATTCGGCCACATTCTCTTACATAATATGTATATTAGTTACTTATATAGCAAATATGTTAGCGTATTAAAAATAAAAGCATGAAAATTTAGCATTATTTTCCTTACAGAGTAGACCTTTTCATAAACGCAATATATCGAGATTCGTGTTGCTAACGCAATTCCTTCATAAAAAATATGATATAATTTTCCACAATATATCGAAATTTAGTATGAGTATAACGGAGTTAAATGATATAAACCAGGGATGGCAAATAGGGTTTGATCAAAGTGCCAAAATTTGGGGAAATTTATTGTCACACTTTTTCCCGTGCCAGCACA